TAACTTTTGGGGCCAAAATGCTTATATTTCCTTATAGCCTATTATTATGAAAGCAGCAAATATGTATTGTTAGAATTAGATTTAGAATAGAGGCAAGCAAAAGGAAAATAGAGATCAGTACTATTAAAAGTTAATTCCATATCCTTTCTGATCTCTTTCACAAATTTTTTTTTCTAATATGAAATCACTCTAATTACTACTTTTTTCAGATGATGGTTTTTTATTTCCATTTCAGTAAATTTTCATTTTTTAAAAAAATATTTGAGGGACAGAGATAGCGAGCGAAAGAGAGCACAAGTGGGAAGGAGGGGGAGAAGCAGACTCCCCACTGAGCAGGGAGCCTGATGTGGGAATGGATCCCAGGACTCTGGGATCATAACCTGAGCTGAAGGCAGATGCTTAACTGACTGAGCCACTCAGGTGCCCAGTAAATTTTCATTTTATCTAATCCCAGACCATATTCAGATTTCTTTCGTTGATCCAGAAATGTCATTTACAGGTAGTTAGTCCAAACCTATGTGCAATTTAGGGATAGAGATTAATTATATCAGATTACTTTGTCCCTTGAGTCCCTTAATCTCTCCATTACATTTCATGCCACTGATTTGTTGATGAGACTGGGCCAGTTGCCCTGCAGAATATCTCACTTCATAGATTTGTCTGGTGGCTTCCTTGCAGTGTTATTAGCTCTTTTTATTATTTCTAACAAAATTATCTGCAGCTTTTTCTAAAACACCGTTCTATATAAAAACTTTTCATGGTTTCTTGTTAGCCACAGAGTAAAGGCTAAAACTTTCTTAGCTCAATATTTAGTAACCATCAGAATTTGTTATCTTTGCCTAGTCTCCCACTCTTCTTCCAGCCAAACCTTCCTGGTCAGACACAAATAGAAATAGGTAGTATTTAAGAATGTAGACTTTCGATCCAACTGTCTATACTTAAATTCCAGTTTCAGTACCTACTAGATGTGACAGTTCACATCATTCCATCTCTTAAGTGGAGGTAACAGTACCGACCTCATAGGGTTGTTGTAAGGATATCAGTTAATACTTGTATCATCTTTAAAACAGTGTCTAGCACATAGAAAATGCTATAAGTATTATTAAATAAGCTTAAAAATCTAGCCTAATTTTTTCCCTTCTGCAAAACAAAAGACACTCATTGCACAATCCTTTTCAGCACTTTTATTCATGACTTGTTCTTGCTGGAGTGCTCTTCCCCTTTCTTCCTGCCTACAAAAATTTAACTTCTTCATCAAACATTTAACTAATATTATTTGAACACCTGCCAGATACTCAGTCATTGAGGTCACAGCAGTAAACAAGACAGAATTCCAGCCTTTAGGGAACTTATACTCTAGTGGAAGATACAGACAAGTACACTACAATGTGATAAGTGTATGATACGTGTACCGTCAGGATCCACTAAAGGCATTGTCTTACAGAGTCGGGGGAAGCCTCATGGACGATGTGATATATAAGCTGAGAGTTGAAGGAAGAAAAAGAATTAGCCTGTTAAAATGGGCGGCAAGACAAGGGAAGGAGGTGGGGCTTAGCTTTGAGAACAAAGTATAGTTCACTAAACTGCAGCTTTAAGGGAAAGTGGCTAAAGGTGAGGCTAAACAAGTAAGCAAGAATAGGTTGCAGAGGGTTGGGAAAAGCATTCAAGATGGGTCTTCTCACATCCCACTGTGTTTAGGCATCTTCTCAGACTACCTCAGCCAATTTTTCGCATTTCCTCCTGACTTTCTATAGTGATTTGACTATAGAGTGTAGGGCTTGCATTGGGAAGAAGTTGCATTAAAATAGTTGGAAGTGGTTTGTTTGGGGAAGAAGTAGTGATAAGATAGGGGGCAAAATCTGACATGAATTAAGTTTAATATTTTGGACTTCTTCTATGGATGCGTAGAAAACACCAAGATATTCAGGATGGGATATCCTAGAAAAGGAAAATTCCAAGAGAGAAAGAGAGTCCATGTGCAAGGTTTCTGGGAACTGTATTTCATTAAAGATAGAACTTTGAAAGGGAAGAGATGAGACTGAAAGAGAAGGTAAGAACCCAGATCATAAATGGAGACTAAGGTGTTCAGGCGTTTTCTAGTAAGCATTTGGAAATCATTGATGGATTTGATATGAGAAACAAATTGGATAATGTTTGCATATTAGAAGTGAATGTAGCACTTTAGAGAGTAAATTTGAGGAGACTAAGTCTAGAGGCAAGATAACCAGTTAGGAGGGTACTGCAGTAGTAGTCAAGGTCGAAGGTAATGAACCCAGCAAAGAGCAATAGTAGGAAGAGAAGGAAAAGAGGAGATAAATTTTACAGATATTATTCGAGACAAAATTGGCTGGACTTGGAGATGTATCAGATGTGAGGGTCAGGTAGGGAGGAGGAAGAGTCAAAGAAGATTGCTAAAATTCTGGCTAAATACAAGAGTAGTAACAGATGGAAGAGGAGGACGATTACTAATACTGAAAAATCAAGCTCAGCGTGCCTCTGAGACTTGAACATGGATGTGTGCTTTGGCTGATAAAGGGAAATCCAGGCTTGGTATCCATAGACATGGGAGTCATTGATGCATAGGTGGTGGGAATTAAGCTGTGGAAGTGGATGGTTATGCTGATAGCATTTCGTTTTCTGTGTGCTAAGCACTGTCCTGAACGCTTTATATACATTGTTTCATTCAATTCTTGTAAGAACCCTGTGAGGTTGTCATTTTACAAAGAAAAAGAAAATGTCACATAGAAGAGTTAAGTAGTGTTTAAAGCTAATAAGGGACAGAGTCAGGAGTGGAACAAACTAACTTAAAACCTGAAATCTTAAAACATGATGCCATGGGTGAGTGGAGAAGAGTGCTCAGGAGAGAACGCTGGGGAACTTCAACATTTAAAGGAGGATGGTCACAGTTGGAGCTGCCTATCTACACATGCTCACCCATGTATATATGGAGAAGGAATCGGAGAGGTAGGAAAACCAGGAAAGTGGTTATGACAAGAAACCAAGAGGAATTACCATAACAGATTATTCTGTGTGCCAAAAGCCACAAAAGAAATAACGTTTTAAAAATTTCCATCAGGTTTAATAAGTTGGAATTTATTGGTAATTCCTGTTTAAGTGGAGCAGTGGCAACATAAGTGAGATGGCATAATTTATATAAAGCTCTTGAGCATAGTAGATTGCATATTTTAAGTACAAACAAAAGTAGCTCCTATAGTTATGGAGTTAATAGGAGTTAAAAGTGGAGACAGTGAGAACTCTTTCAGATACTTGAATCTGAACGATCTTAACTAACTCAGGTAAGTTGATTTGGTTGGGTTTAAATATGGATACATTTTTTTTAAGAGAATAAAATTTCCATATAATGATTTCTGATAATAATGAACATATGGAAGGACTGTACCATTGTATTGTTGAGGGCCCAGCTGAAGGAGACTAGATTTATATGGTTTCAATCTTCTGGTATGATTTTTCTTCAGCAGAACCCAGGAGCAGAAATAAAAGTGAAGTAAAGGCATTCAGTTAGGTTGATCTAGATTTAGGATTTTGTTGAATGCATGTGATAGAAAGGCTAAATCGGGGGGTGGGGGGAGGAAAAGAAAATGAAGGTCTTAATAAAAGAGTATTTTAATAGTTTAAGGGGTGCCTGGGTGGCTCAGTAGGTTAAGCGGCTGACTCTTGATACTGGCTCAGGTCATGATCTCGGGTTTTGAGATCGAGACCCGAGTCAGGCTCTGTGCTGGGCATAGACCCTGCTTAGGATTCTCCATCCCTCTGCTTGCAGGCACACACATTCTCTCCCTCTTTCAAAAAAAAAAAAAAAAGTGGTTTAAATAATACATCAAAGACTGTGGAATTGATAGAGAAAAAATTGAGTACTAAAAGTGACTGTTAAGGGCGCCTGGGTGGTTCAGTTGGTTAAGCGACTGTTTTCGGCTCAGGTCATGATCCTGGAGTCCCAGGATCGAGCCCCACATCGGGCTCCCTGCTCAGCGGGGAGTCGTCTTCTCCTTCTGACCCTCCCCCCTCTCGTGTTCTCTCTCTCATTCTCTCTCTCTCTCAAATAAATAAATAAAATCTTTAAAAAAAATTAAAAAAAATAAAAGTGACTGTTAGGAAAAATTTAGAACTGAGATCTTGATAAAAGTGACAAATATGGTGACTAACATAACATAATAAAAAAATAATAAAAAAGTTACAAATATAAGGGGAATGGGAGGCTGTGGTCAAAAAAGGGGATTTTAAAATGTGCAGAGGAGTGGTTCTTGGAAGTCACTGAATTTAAGATCAAGATTTTGAGAGACTAGAAAACGTGATGAATCATCCAAATGGACATTAAAATTGTCCAGGATATAATGAAACTTGGGGTGGTTTTGCTTGAGGTTCCAGAAAGCAAATTGATTGGGCCTTGTCATGGGCCTTTGAAAAACTTGACCTCTGTGTGTGTGTATGGAATCAAATTACTTATTTCCCAGGACCTAGTGCTGGAGCAGAGTGTTGCTTCCGGTTAGATGGCAGGATTTAGGTGTACCTGAGTAGTATCTGGACTAGTTGATGAAAAGAATCTATCTACAATAATAATATAGAGGAGGTTAAGCAGTTTGCCTAAGGTCACCTTCTGGGTGATTCTAAAGCCCATGCTCTTTCACTAACCCTAATGTTTTTGCAACAAGTTAAGCTGCTTCAAACATTCTTTCCAAATGTTTGGGAGAACAGTTTCGTTTTATTTTAGCTTCTCCAGAGTTAATGAGTTTTTTAGTGCCAAACATCTATAGAGTGAAGTGGAAATCTATTCAGGGAGCACCTTGAACAGAAAATTAACCTCAGCCAATGTTTTTAGACACTAGTTTCAATAAATTGATCCATTAGTTCATTTGTCTGTTTATCTATTCTCCACCCATGTAATAGTGGTTACACAGTTTGAGAACACTATATTTGGAATAGGTTGAACAAAGTATAATTTGACTCATTTGGTTTTATTTATTGTCTTTTGTCATCTCTAGCTGCCTATCCCCACCGTTTGAATCTCTTTTACCTCGCCAATGATGTCATACAGAACTGCAAAAGGAAAAACGCAATCATTTTCCGTGAATCATTTGCTGATGTCCTTCCTGAAGCAGCTGCTCTAGTGAAGTAAGTAAATTCTTACTGCTTTTGGGGATCTAAGCTTAGAAAATTAAGAATTTTAGTTTCCCTTTTTACCTGTCAGTAAGAACTATTAATAGTTGTACATGTTTGAAGATCTAAGGATATTTTGCCCAAATTGTTCATGTAACTTTCCCACTAATACACACATTTTTCTTTTAAAAATTATTACTTCTCTCTCTCTCTTTTTTTTTAAGATTTTATTTATTGGGGCACCTGGGTGGCTCAGTCAGTTGGGCGTCTGCCTTCGGCTCATGTCATGATCCCAGGGTCCTGGGATCGAGCCCGCATTGGGCTCCCTGCTCTGCGGGAAGCCTGCTTCTCCCTCTCCCACTCCCCCTGCTTGTGTTCCCTCTCTCGCTGTGTCTCTCTCTGTCAAATAAATAAAATCTTAAATAAAATAAAATAAAATTCTCTTCTTTATTGAACTGAAAAGTGAATTTAGATTAGTTGTTATCATTAGAGCTTAATATGTTCTTCTGACTCTAAGGGTGTAGAGAAAATTGCATGCATGTCTGACCTTTGTTGGGAAAAGATGTCATGGCAGATTTTGGGGAAACAGTGAGCTTGGTACTCTGAAATAAACCCAGCATAAGAACGGATTCTGATGACTTTTAGTGAAGAAAGTCATAAAACCACTTGGGAGTTTGGATTTGGGCAGTTTTTTCTCTCTTTTTCTCTCTCGCTCTCTCTTTTTAAGATCTATTCATTTTGAGAGAGAGAAAGCTCACGTGCGTGTGCACAAGTAGGGGATGGGGGGGAGGGTGGAGAGAGAGAGAATATCCCAAACAGACTCCATGCTGAGCATGGAGCCTGACTCCGGGCTTGATCTCATGACCCTGAGATCATGACCTGAGCCAAAACCAAGAGTCTGACGCTTAACTGACTGAGACTGACAGCTGCATTTCTTCTCTTGTTATATGCATTCTCTTGGAGATTTATCTACTCATGGATTAAACTCTTGCTCATATCCTAATAACTACTATAACTGCATCTAGATTTTTGATGTTTTGTTTTGTTTTTAAAGATTTTATTTTTAAGTAATCTCTACACCCAGTGTGGGCTCGAACTTAAAACTCCAAGATCAAGCGTCACATGCTCTACCAACTGAGCCAGGCAGGTGCCCCCCCCCTTTTTTTGGACCATGTCTTCAACTTCTTTTTGTGAATTACTACCTCATTATTATATGATGATATTCAGCTCAGAACATCTAAAACAATAATATACTTTACATTTGTATAAAGCCCTGCTCCCACAGTTTGTGTGAAAATAGGTTATAAATTGAAAATTGTTATACAAATGGTATTTGAAACTCACAGTAACCAACTTTGCAGGTAAGCAAATTGAATTATATTCTTTCTTTTTACAAAATGAGAAAACTGAAGCCCAGAGCAGTTAAGAAATTGCCCAAAGTAAAATGTCAATTTGGTAAAAGAGGTGAGAATAGAACTGAGATTTTTCTGACTCTTAGTACCCACCCCACAGAGTCTGGGAACTACTAAATGAGTAAATACTGTGATATAAAGTGAGTGCTTGGAATAGTGAGTGGCATATAATAAGCACCTAATAAATGTTAGCTGCTACTTTGATGATGAGGTTGATAATGATGATTACTCCTACAATTATTATTAACAATTCATGTTACCAAATCACTGCTCTGATCATTCTTTAAAATGTTTTCATACTACTATATAATTTAACAAATTCCTTTCCATGTTTGTTACTTTCTTTTTTCTTTTTTTTTTTTTTAAGATTTAATTTTATTTGACAGAGAGAGACACAGTGAGAGAGGGAACACAAGCAGGGGGAGTGGGAGAGGGAGAAGCAGGCTTCCCACGGAGCAGGG